AGTGAAATATATTTATGTTTGTGGTTGTAATGTGACAAAATATGGAAAAGTTCAAGGGGTATGAATACTTTTGCAAACCACTGTATATAGCAGATCTACTTGACTCATACCTGCATGTAGCCTTAGCTCCAGTAACTCCAATCTGCTACTTGGTCCTGACTAAAGACACGTGGRGACAGAGCATTTCAGGTTGTAGCTTCTAAACTTTGGAACTCATTACCTCAGTGTCAGAGCTTTCAGCTGCTTTTATTAACGTGGCTGAATGAGTTTTAATGTTTGTCTTATTAATGCTTTACGGATTGTCAATCTGTTGTTTTATACTATTGTGTGCTTTTCTGTTTTATTGTGCAGCACTTTTCACTGTGAAAAGTGCTGCACAAGTACAGTTTACTTGAATTAGATTTTTGTATTGAGAGTGTGCGAAAACTTCTGAAGAAATGTTGAAACGTATCAATGATGCTCCTGCATTTTGATGTGCGAGCTGTATAGGAAGTGCAAAGGAAACCAAAATAAAAGAAATGTTAAAGCTGCTGCCAGTGGCTCAATACATCACCGTAGTAACCACACATCTGTGTCTGTCACTCCCTGACTCCTGCGTTAATGAGAGGTGGACGAACGGAGTCCCATGTGCTAATGAGCTTAAACCTTTGTGAGCTGTTAGCGACAGAGGTCTGGTGATGTTCGTCTTTTGTGAATAATATCTGTAGAGAGTTCTCCTGTGTTTCACCAAAATCCGTGAATTGTTTATTTTTTTCATGCATCTGTTTTTACTACCAGAAGTCATGGTCATGTTCTCCACCAAGCTACGTGTTTGAATGTTTCATTTGCATATTTTATTGCAAATTTAGCAAAATTGTAGCCAAAAAATTAACTTAGCAAAACTGCAGTAGAAAGCCAAATGTAGGAAAATTGTTGCTCTAAACTGAAAATAGCAAAAAGGTAGCTAAAAGTAAAACACAGGCAAAACCATTGCTGAAAGTTACAAATCAAAAGCTAAGGCCCTGTTTACATGAGTTTACACTCTGATGCTAATGTTTACTGGAGTGAATACACAAAAAATCACTGCAGTAAAAACACCAGGCAGGGTTATCAAATGGGACATAGTAAAGTGTTTTATTGTACTTTTAAAATGATCATATTTTGAGTCAAAACAGCAGCCATCAGAAGGTGTAAATTGGAGGGTTTGATTTGAGCAGGTTAATTTAATATTCAGAAAATGCTGCAGGAGAATTCTGTCATCACTGGACTTTTGTTGGCTGCTGATTTGATTTGAAGATGTTCCGATGCAAAGCTGTCAGAAGGGGGCAGTACTGAACCAAATCCAAGTTTCTGAAGTATTCTGAAGCATCTTAATGTAGCTGAAATAAAGCCACCATAACCAGAAGTCCTWGCCATCGTCTCCTGAATGCTCTTAGAAGTTCGGCCTCTGCTGCAGTCTCGCTGAACTGTCTGATCCGTCTTGGAAGTAAACGAAACACTTTTCTCCTTTTTGTTTGGCAGCGTGAGACAGARAGGAGCTGGTTTAATCTAACGGCACAGGAGCTCCAGCCTCTGTATCAGAACCAGGAAGTGGATGGTCAGGTGAGCCTGAGCAGCTCCAGCTGCTCCCAGGACGTCTGGARCGGAGGCAGCTCGCTGCTGCTGGAGGGAACCATCCCTGCAGCTCAGGATGCTCCAGTTATTGCCACGTGTGTTCATGTTCTCCTTTCTCTTCACAGAAATKATACTTTTTTTCTACATAGATGGAAAAGTTTCAGTTTTTTGTAGGATGGGACAAGTAAGGWTTATAAATATTAAAATGAAACATAAATATGGCATTTTTTGGCAACATTGCAGTGAATAATGAGTGCTGAACGAGCACAAATTAAAGAAAGCAGAATACTAGCTAAAAGCTAAAAGTAGTGAAAGGCTAGTTAAAAATARCCAAGTGCTAACTAAAAGCTAAAGTTAAAAAAAAGCGTGCTAAAAGTAGCAAAGTCTATAATAGAAAATAAAAATAATAAAAACCAGAGCTCCAGAAAATAATGAAAAAAATAAGAATATGTTTGGGGGCCACAGAAACAGGAAACTGTCTCCCTTTTTTGCTCATTTCTGTGTGTCTGTTGGTAAAATATCTGGTGAATTTTGATGCTAATCAAGTAATCACTGGATGCACATCGCATCACATCCACTGTTRGAATCAACCTCATTCAAGATGGCCACCGCACAAAAAGGACTCATCAGTTTTAACAGATGTTTAGCTAAACTCTGGTAGTAGCTGAACGTCATCCTCAACTAATACTCCACTCWAATATCACATGACATCACACTTTACATCATTTTCCAGGTTTGACCAAAGCAGCTGTAACTCCTCTGTGGCRGGTGAAATGATGAACTTTTATACCTTTATTCTGTACTTTGCAGGATCTTCTCTCTACATGTCCCTCTGGACTCTAAAGTCTGGGTGACCCTGGTCTACAAGGCATCTCCTGGGATCACGGTGTCTCTGCAGCTGAAAACAACAGACAGCTCTCAGACTGACGTCCAGGAGGTGGCAGGTGAGGCCTTCAGGTCATACGGTGTTAGGACGCTACATTCACATTG